AAAAGCACTTTTCATTACAATGTGCGTTTTGATATTTACTTTAAAAAAAAAGCATAAATTACAAAAAGGTAAAAACTTATTTATTTGAAAGCTAAAAAAATTAGCTTTTAAAAAAACAGAAGTTAAAAGCTAATTTTTTTTTTTAAAAAAAACCAAATATTTTTTTTAAAAATCAAATAATTTAATTTTTGTTAAAAAAACACTTGTGAAATAAATAAGGTATAAAAAAACTTTTTTTAACAAGGCCATAAAAACAGCCCTAAATGAAGCATCAACGGATAGGAGTTAATTAGCACGTACCACGGAGAAAAATAAGGAAGAAATCATTCATTTTCAGGTCAGCTTTGTGTTAATTAAGAAGATTTCTCTCCAACGGTTTTAAAGCGATGCACCCTTCATATTGACCTAATGCATTTAGAAGAATAATTTTTTTATTATTATTTTTTTGGAAAAGAAAAAAAAAAGTCTTTCTAAATACTAATTCAAGGTTCTTAATCAATTTTAATACTCAAACATATATAATGAGGATACCTTCTTAAAAACTAAGTCAATTCGTTGGGTTGAAGAAATCATATATTTGAATTAATAGAAAATAAATCTTTTTCTTTTTGGTAGAAAAAAATTTATTTCTAAACATACAATAAGATTAATTAGTTAAATTAATAATTTAGATGTAAGCTTAGTACCCTTTATATGACTTTTTAAGCGAAAAAAAAAACTGCTCCCAATGATTTTTTTTTCCAGCTAAATAAAGTTTTGCGCTTTTTATTTTTTGTTTTTTTAGAATGTTTCAATATATGTTATTGTAAAACTAATCCATCAGACATTGTCATGACTGATTACTTATTAAGAGGTTTTCCAACAACTATGTTTCGTAAGATTGGAACTTTAGTCATTTTTTAATAGTTGATAAATTTTTAAAGTCAGAAAAAGTATCAATCTCATTGTTGATTTATGATAGAGTTATGTTTATAAAAAATAAATTTAAAAATCGAACACAAATTACGGCTTACTTAAAATCCCATCACATTTGCCAATCCTTATTCATTATCTTATTTCTAATTTTAGTAGAACAACATTTATCACAAGAATATTGAATTATTATTTTTTGGATACATAAAAATTTAAGCGGGGTTAGACACTGGTATCCAACTAGGGTTAGGGACGACCCCTCAACCTTATTGAGAATTTTCGAAAGGAATTATATATTACCTACCAACAAAGTTCTCACATCGGTTATAAGAGTTCAAATCCACACCCTTGAGGGGTATGATCCAAACTCTTAGGTAACTGTGTCCACCTTTGTTGGCAGAATACTAAAAATTTAGTCATTAAGGGAATACAGGATGATTTGCTTAACGCACCCCTAGGGGGCGTTTGGTAGGGGATAACTTTTTTTTGTTATTGGGAATCATGATTCCCAAGAATATGTTAGAAAAGTTAATTTTTCGGGAATATTAGCAAAAAATTGTTTGGTATGCCAAAATATTACCTGAAATGTTGCTCAAGTTTTCTACTTCTATATTTGGTTATTGCCAAATATTGCTAGGAATGTAGGGCGATTTTACAAAACTAACTTTACTCATTATTTTCATTCGAAACTTTTCCAATTCAAAATTAAAATAAAATATTTACATAATCGATCAGACAACAAAATCAACATTCACAAAAAACAAAATTCGATAAAGAAACCATTATCGTCGAAACTCACAAATGACTAGGGTAATGAAAAATCGTCTTGACATGAGGTTAACATTGACCCAAAAACAGATCATATAGAGTTCGTGAGTGAAGAAATAGGGAATTCCTCACTCATAATTTTTCAGATTTGTGTAGAAGCCAAAGGGAATGACGAGATGTTCAGGAACCAAACATGTGCCCATTCTTTATGTTCTGAGTGTGTCATTAAACAAGTGGCCACAAAGATTCAAGAAGGCATAACAGTTGTTTCGTGCCCTGGTTTGAACTGCAACAGTGTGTTGGAGCCTGATGATTGAATGTCAATGCTTCTTGTTGGGTATGACTCATACTTCGCATATTGATGAGAGCTCTTATTGACGGAATAGAAAGACAACCGGGGTCCCGCTCGGTTGAGCTACCAGTTGGATGAGTAAGAGGCAGAACACGATTACTTTATCTACTGCAGAGGCTGAGTACATGGCCTTGACACATGTTGTCAAGGAGGCTGTTTGGTTGCGGAGGTTGTGCAAAGAGCTTGGCTTTGCACAAGCAGAAGTGACAGTTGGGTGTGATCGTTAGAGCACCATTTTCTTGACTAAGAACCCAGGTTTCCATGCAAGGACCAAGCATATCGACATACAATACCATTTTATCGGAGAGAAGGTTGAAGATAAGGTTGTATTGTTGGAGAAGGTTGACACAAAGGTCAACAATGCTGATTTTCTGACCCAAACAGTGACTTCAGAGAAGTTTGAATGGTGTACAGTTGCATTGGGATTGAAGAAACATGCAAAGCATTCATCAAGTGAGAGAATATTGGGTATAGCTCATACTTCGCATATTGATGAGGGCCCTTATTGACGAGGTCAGTAGAAAGGCAACTGAGGTCCCGCTTAGTTGAGCTATTAGTTGGATGAGTAAGAGGCAAAGCACGGTTGCTTTATCTACTACAGAGGCTGAGTACATGGCCTTGACACATGTTGTCAAGGAAGCTATTTGGTTGCAGAGGTTGTGCAAAGAGCTTAGCTTTGCACAAGCAGAGGTGACAGTTATGTGTGATAGTCAGAGCATCATTTTCTTGGCTAAGAACCCAAGTAAAGGCTTGGTACTGTTGTATGCATCTGACTTATTATAATCTTATTTTTTTTCTTAGTAGTTCGGGCTTGGGCCTATGAATAGATGTTGTTAGGGTTTTCTAAATCCTATTTACCTTTTCTTGTAAATCGAGTGACTTGTAACGAGTGACAGTGAGGTGGATATAGTACAAACAAGCTAGACGTAGCCTACTTTGGGTGAATTAGGGTAGATCACAGTGTCAATCTCTTTTCCTTTTCTCTTATTTTTTTCTGATTTGTGTAATTATTGATTTCTAACACTTCCAAGAGGAACTTTTTTTTTTTGTTGAGTTAGGGCATAGAATGAGAAGGAAGATGTGGTGAACATGCTTCCAAAAGACGTGCTTGATAGGTGGGATGACACACTGTGTAAGGCTCTTTTGCTTACAATTTCAAAATTCTATTGCCCTTTTAAAGATCGTTTGCTATGCTGCTTAATTACAATGAAGGGAAGATATTAGGGAGTCTGAGTGCCCTTTTTGCCATAGACTCTTCTATACAAGGTGTTATGTCCAAGACATCCTAGGGTTCTGTGCGAGGTGTTCCAGACAAGGATATTTTAGTCCTATAAATTTTGTGAAATTTTTTCACCCGGTTGTAGTTTTTGTTGGGAAAGTATGCATTAAAGCTTTACAAATTGGAATCCTGAGAAAATCAATTTTCGTGAAAATTTTCATAATCCTTATATCAAACGTGGGTAAATAAGATTTCCAATATAAGCTTTTCGGGAATATGAAAAAAATTCATGTACTAAATGCTCCCTTAGTATGAGATTGGGTTTGATTTATGATAATAAATTGTTGTTGATATTATGATAAAAATATATTATATACACACTACATTTTTATAATTCTCCCTTTATACCCCGTTTTACAAAAGAGAGAGAAAGAAATTAGTAATTCATTTGTCTCTCTATCTTGTTTTTGTTTGAATATATTGCACCTAATTAATTAATTAAGTATTGGCACACAGCATAATTTTTATTCTTTTGCAAAAAAGTTAATTTACTAGTTAATCTTTCTAAAAGAAAAAGGTATAAAGGAAAAATATAAAAATATGATATACGAATAATACTTATTTTTAATAGGACAAAAAAGTATGTGTGGCAAAAGTGTGTGCGCGACGCGTAGAAGATAAAAAGTAAAGAAACCAAGTCTGCTAATTGAAAAATAAGTGTAATTAAATAATACATGCAACGTGGAAAATGTTTGAAATAGTAAACGTGAAAACAAAGAAAAAGGGGGACCACGTACACAAACCCCACTACTTTGTAATTTTGTATATTTATTTGTAAAAGTAAAGTATGGGCGATCGACAAGATGGCTTCGGTCAATATGCAACTTCTAGATTCTATCCGCTCCTAATATTATACTAACTTTTTATTTTATCATACTATGATGAAAAGAGAAATTGTTTATTTACATGTACAATTTTTTTTTTTTTAAATATTAACTAATACTTGTATGTAAAAATTTTAAATTTATACAAAAGTATGCAATTATCATAATAATCTTGTAAGGTGAGACATGAGCCCATTTGAATTCACAAGTTATTACTATTATTTATGGGCAAAAGATTTCTCAAGTGAACGGAGATAAATTATCTTCAGCGAGTCCAAAACGATATTATTTTGTGGTGAAAATCAATGTATTTTTATAATTCTAATTTATTGCAGAGTTATATTAATATTTATTATTATAATTTTTTAATCTTATAATCTCAAAACAACATTGTTTTGAGCTTACTAGAGATAAAATCATCTTAAGTGATCGAAGAAATACTTTTCTTATTATTTATTTGATGGAGAGGTGTGATTTGACTTTGAAATTTAATTTCCACCGTTTTCTTGCAACAAGAATTCACCGTCGTATATTCTATTCCCGACCTTTTTCTTTTAAATAATAATACATGTAGATAGATGGACACGTTCTTCTTATCAAGTATAGAAATAAACAAAAAATAAAATAAAATAAAATATATTATAAGACCTTGACCGGCTTCATTGTTAAGAATAATATTCGTGCATGCCAGCTCTTTGTTTGTTTATGCAAGTGGGATATATTTCCCCATGTGTCTTGTCTCTCTTTCCACTCAGTTTCCTTCCTCAACTTGAGTTCGTGAAGTGCTACTACCTACCTCTATATATATGTTTTATCTCACTTTGTTCCCTCCCAATTTCTTAAAGTCTTAGGCTTTTATCTCAACTTCATTTGGGTTTTGCTTCATACAAAACTAGAAAGAAAGTTCTCTACTTGTTTGAATTCATTTGGCAGCTAGTCATGGATTGTTCAACATGGATTAACACTTCCTTGGATCTTAACATTAATTCCTACAGAGTTCATGAAGAAGTTCCTGTAAGTATAAACCATCGAATAATATATATATATATATCATTCTTGCATGCATTTCCAGAAGCTCTAATTATGTGAAATGCTTTGCCGAGTGAGAGTGAGAATATTATTGTTTGATATGATGAGTTATTCATTGTTGTGTGCTTTTGATTTCAGAAGAAGGAGGTGGAAAGCAAGCTTTTCTCATTGGGGATGACAAAGTTTTCTGTGAAAGAAGAGGTTGGTTGAGCCAATTGTTTCTTTATTTTTTTTTAGTTGTGATCATTTGATTTGTCAGATTGTAGAACATATAATTGCTTGAATGATTGTCTTGTTCTTTAGTCCATTATGGATACTAGATATGGGGGCCTTTTGGCTAATCCTATATATATGCTATTGCTGCCATTTCAGTCCACTGGTGGTGACTTAGAGAAGGAAGTGAAGAGGGTGACAGCAGAAAACAAGAAGTTGGCCGAAATGCTCTCAGTGATGTGTGAGAATTACAACACATTGCGGAGCCACTTGATGGAATATATGAAGAAAAATCCTGAAAAGGAGCTCAGCACATCATCAAAGAAAAGGAAGTCTGAAAGCAGCAATAACAATAATAGCAACCTGATGGGAATTAACAATGGAAACTCAGAGAGCAGCTCGACTGATGAAGAATCATGCAAGAAACCGAGGGAAGAAACCATCAAAGCAAAAATTTCAAGAGCTTATCTCAGGACTGAAGCATCTGATACAAGCCTTGTAAGAAGACTCTTTAATCTCCTAGGCTCCTACCATTCATTCACTCTTAGGTTAATTGTTTGACATGCTTTTCATTGTATGTGCTTTCAGATTGTTAAAGATGGATACCAATGGAGGAAGTATGGACAAAAGGTGACCAGGGATAACCCTTGTCCAAGAGCATATTTCAAGTGCTCTTTTGCTCCAAGTTGCCCTGTGAAAAAGAAGGTAAGATCAGTGCTAACTAGGAACTGGTTATTCAAATTAATGCCATTCATTATATGGAGCTGGACCTCAAACTAAGTTTGATTTGGTTATTCAGGTGCAAAGAAGTGTGGATGATCAATCTGTCCTGGTTGCAACTTATGAAGGGGAGCACAATCATCCCAACCCTTCTCAAATTGAGGCAACTTCAGGTTCTGGCCGTAGTGTGACCCTTGGGTCAGTACCTTGTTCAGCATCTCTCAGCTCTTCCACACCAACAGTTACCCTTGACATGACAAAATCTAAGTGCAGCAACGATGTCAAGGATACAAAACCAAAAACAGTTTCACCTGATGTACCGCAGGTTTTGGTGGAACAGATGGCTACTTCTTTAACCATGGATCCTAATTTCAGAGCAGCACTTGTTGCCGCCATCTCAGGAAGACTGTCGCACAAGAATTAGATGGAAATTTGGTATAGTATTCCATAGAATGGATCATTTTTAGACCACAGGATTTCTATGTAAATACAGCATAGAAAATTGGGACATATTTTCTCAATTTGATCCTTTAAGTGGAAATAAAGTTCCACTAAGGATACCATGTTGAGCTGATTAAACTATAGCCAATCAAGCTGAGTTCAGCCTGCTTCATGGTAAAGATCTAGCAAGCGTTTTTTTGGGACAAAATAACTGGGATATCTCAAATCACATTTCCAAATAAATTCTTGCAAAATTCTCAGAAAAAAAATTCCTTTCAAGTGGGGCAGCTCTAATGGCAAAGACAATTTCTCCTTTGTCTTCCTCACTACTGTCTCTCTGGAAAGCCAACCTACTTCTCAATGTTTAATACACAGACTCAGTCTCCTAGATTTAGATTTTTCATTTTAGAAATTATATTATACATCATTCAAGTATTGTAAGTGAGGAAATATAACTCAAAACATAGAAGAATCAAAAAAGGTATCTGCATGATGGGAGTTTTCAATTCAAAGATTGGTATTTTGATTTTGAGCAGCAAGTCCTCATAATTGAATTTTGAAGTTATAAAATTGATTTAGTTTTATACTCGTATCGATTGATCATATAACTCCTACAAAGCATCGTATTTAATACTTAAAAATGGTAAACTGAATTATTGAAATACAATTTTTTACTTATTTAAATCCAGTTTAGAATATATGCACGTCACACAATCGAAATAGGCCGTTTGTTGAAAACAGATTCTGCTAACATAATAATAGGGAGTTTCACTAAACTATCTGCGCTGTGCTACGCATATTTTAATTAAACCGAAAATTACTTAGGCAACAGTTCATTAAGCAATAAGCATACCCCTCAGGATGGCCTTATTGAGGTTTTGAATGATATATAATTACATATAGTATAAGTTGTTTTGGATTTAAAGGGGTTTAAGTGTGATCTTGAGGCTTCCTAGTGAGAGAGTGAGATTAATCTTTCAAGATTCAGTCTACTCATATCTCTCTTGCATCCTTGACCTAGAGTGCAACAAAATGTGGGTTACTCATAGCCAAATAGCATTTCAATTTCAACCATGAATTTTATGGTTTGCTGTGACCCAACAAGCCATATTTTAACCATTAATTTCAACAAGCCAAATTGGCCTAAATGCCTAGAACTTCCCACTGCAATATTTTAACACCAATTTCATGAAATTAGGTAGAGGGGTGGTAGAAAGTAATATAGGTCGGCAATCCCGAGGTGTTCAACGAATAATACTTCAAATGAGTCCAGCACTGAACCTTGATGACCACTGACCAGGTAGGTAATGCTGGACATAGTTGACGGTATGACACCAAAGACTTAATAAAAGACAAAAAAGCAAAATGCCAGAGAAAAATAAAAAACCTCCAAGTGAGGCCTGGTCTGGTCCCTAATATAGGGTAAACGCCTAAAGGGAGTGGTTGAGAGTTCGAACCCCAACTCTTGTGAATGGAAAACATTCGGTGACCAACTCTTTACCGCTTTGTGCGCTGACCCAGGGCGAGGGATTAGTCTCATGGCTATCGGCTGTGAGAATACCCGGATGTAATCCAAAAAAATAAAAATAAAGGGTAGGCGAAGTGCAACTATGACTATTTCAGTATATATTTTAATACATGAGAACTTGAAGAATTGCCAAAAGTCATTTTGCTTTTCAAATACAACTGCCTTCTGGCTATTTCATTCATATCCATATGGATTTTGTACACTCCACAACCTACCCATCTCCCCTGACAGTTATCTGATTAACAAAATGAACATCAACCAAAGCCCTTGTACTACTTAGAGGTGAAGCTTAATTTGTTCACAGCTAGCAACAGACCCACCTCGGTTGGCTCCTCATTTGCCTTCTCTTGGACCTTAGAGTTGAGGGAGCTTTCTTTACTCACTGCTTCTGCGTTGGAGGTGCACTCCTTGAATCTGAAGCAACTGATAAGGTGGTCATTTGTTAGCCCTGCCACTTGCATGAAAGTATAGATGACTGTTGGTCCCACACTCCTGAATCCTCTCCTTACAAGATCTTTGCTCATGACTTCTGCTTTTGGAGATTTGACAGGTACCTGGCGTGGGTACCTGAATTGGCTGACTATAGGCTTATGGTTCACAAAGTTCCAAATAAATGTGTCAAAGGAACCAAACTCTTCAATTACCTGTATTACAATTTGGAAAAAATGAAGTTAAAGACAACTTACATGTTTGATAGTTAGAAGAAAAATTTATAATATCCATCTCTTAAAGCAAGTTGAATGGAGAATTTTTTTTTTTTTTTTTAATCAAGTCTTCTTCTATTTATAATACATATGTGGGGTCAGGAAGCAGGTTTATTTCGTTTTTCTCAACATTTTCCACGGTTAGGTAGCAGAAAAGTTTGAAAAAAAGTTTATAGGTTGATTCACTTCAGCAAGAATCTTTTCATTCAGAAACAAAGAAAAAAAAATTGACAAAGGAACCAAAATTGCAACTTCTAAACATGCTATACATAAGATTAGAATATAAAGATATCAGTGTATTTACCTTGCACATCTGACGTGCATTTTCAATTATGGATCGCAACCTGAGCTCTGATAGCAATGAGTTGGCAGGACTTCCTGGTGCAGCTATCTTTTTCTCATTCATTCTTGAAACAGCACTTGGATCAAAATCCAAAAAGACTTCCCTGTGTTCATGTACACGTCACAACAATTAATTAAGAACTAAATCCCAAAAAAAATTAGCCCATTTTCTTCACAAAAAATCTTCTGAATCAATCAAAAGCCAAATAGAAATACAGGAAACATAATGAGCCAATTATTTGTAAAATGTCTAATATGCCAACCATATAATTAAATCCAAAATATGTATTTTCACAGAAGATTATATCAGTACCGAAATAACTGCCTTTTGCTAAGAATGGTAGGCCACGTAAGTTCAGCTAAGGCTCCAGAGAAGCTCAGCAACTCAAACAGTTTGCTGCACAAAAACCAAATTTCAGCATTGAGACAGTTTTCAACCTGGAAAATGAAAACAAAACAGAAGATTGTGCCAACAACAGAACAAACCAACATACTTGTCATCATGAACAGGAACTCCCCACTCTTCGTCATGAAAAGAAATGTAACATGGTTCTGAAACAAATGAGAATAAATTAGAAATGAAAGACGAACAAGAAATTTGCAATTACAATGTTTATGCAACATTTTTTTTTTGAACAGTCAAACTTCATAGGATCGATATTCTATTTATCCTCTCAATCTAGGCTTACAGATATTGGAATTTCGATCATGTAAATCAAGGCATATGTGCTCTGTGAAATTATGAAGCACTTGATTATAATATTTAACCATTTACATGAAAATTCACCTCAGATGGTCCCCTAGGAGGTTGAAGAATGAAAGAAAATTAGTGATGCTGATAGAATCAACCAATACCAAGGAATGAAAAACAGAAATAACACTGATATATTGATTTACAGGTTTCGAAATACAAACTCCAATATCCAGAAAATGACACGATACAGAAAGAAATGAATTACAAGCTTAATAAAAGAACTAATAACAGAGCCGTTCGAGGAGCTCTGCAATCCTCCCAAAAGACTTCTGAATTTCAACGCTTGCCCATTTGCACCTGGTTTGGCTGTTAGAATATTCTCTTGTAACAAACTTAGTCTGACTCAGCATTAAGTGGTAATGATTTCCTGTATATTTTCCTAGTGTCCAACTTTAGGGGTCTAACAGATGCTAACAGGCACTAGAATACCTTTACCAGGCTTCATATTAGCAAATTGATAGGACAAAAGGGCACTAGAATACCTAGTGTCCACCATCTCTGGGTTTTTTTTTATATAAACACAAGGGCCTAAATCCAGAAACTATAAAGGGAGCATATATATAAGCTTCAAGATTTACAATATCTTGATATATATCATATGTGCCCGTAGTTAATATTTTGTATTCCCCTTCCAATAAACAAGAAGCATAATTTCTATTTACATTTTTCAAAACTTTCCCAAACAAACTTGTCATAGTAGAACTAGCCATGTACAAGTACAACTTCAATTTTTTTTCTTCCAACCTTCCTTCCGTGTTCGAGCCCAAAAAAGAAAAAATTTAAAATTGGATACTTATAGATGCGTGTTGGACATGTGTAGTCAATTTGCTGTACAAGTGTCCAACACAGACACAATACCAAAATGGTGTGTCCATGCTTTATAGCTTGGATATGAAACATTGAAAGCATACGTTGGGGGCGGCAATAATTCTGGGAGACCAACTGTAGCATCACGAGCCAAGTTAACTAGACTAACTGCTAAACGGTTGCCTTCCTATATGTATGACAGATATGAATCTGCCGAGCTAGCTGCAAAAAAGTTTGAGCATCCTAAACCAGACTTACAGAAGGAGGCAAACCACTGCAAGCCTTGATCAGCATGTCAACAGCAAGCTCAAACTGTCTCATAAGTTGCAACATGTAACTCTTCACCATATGGCAGCCATGTCACGCAGAAAAGTATCATGCACATGGCCAATTGTGCATTAACATGGAATTATTCATGCTTTGACTAAGTATATTTATAGTCTTGCACAAAAGAAGTGTACAGCTATGGAAGCTTCTCATTGTGTATGAAAATTTGATGGGAACAAAACACAAGTATTACATGTTTCCTTTGTAATAAAAAAAGACTTCTCCTAGTGTAAGAGCCAAACTTGATAGGTCGAGAATCCCAATAAGTTCATATTAACACTAAAATTATCATTTGCTTTATAAAAAAATAATATATGAGGGACATGATAGAAGGTGCTTTTTGAGCATCGGTTCATAATGTTTAATTGGCATGAACAGCAGAATATGCACTATATCAATTAACAGATCACAGTCAGTGAGTGATATTGAAACATTAGTTGATAATTGTACTTTTTTTCTAGTACCTAAAAATGCATTTTTTTTTATTGGTATTTTTAAAAATGCACTTTACAAAGACATGGAATAAAATCTGATATTATGTCAGGCTTCCAACAATCCAACCTATCAAAATCAAGAATATATCTCAATGGGCAAGCTGTAATACTCAATTTTAACACGCAATGCAGTCCACATATGGTCTACTACGGACAAAATTCCACATGATTTCCATGTCAAATGACTAAGGGGGTGTATTGGATTAGAATTTAAAAGACTATTTTGAGATAAAAAATCTTATAGATTTTAAAAGACTATCTAGAATTGCAGTGACTTTAAAGACTTTTTTAAAAAAAAAAATTACAATCAAGATTTTATAAGATTGAATTTTAATAGAATTTATAATTTTTGAAAGGAAAATATAGATCTATAAGATTTTAAAAAACTATATGAATTTTTAACAAACATTCAAAATTACAAGAGTCCATAAAGAAAATAACAAAGAAACGCAATGATATTAATAAAAAAAGTAAAACCTAATATAATTTTCTCAATCAGTAATTTAATGTAACTTGATGTCCCACTAAGCAGCAACTCTTCACATATCTATACTAGCCCTCCACACATTAACATCTTCTCGTTCATGCTCTTGGGTTTGACAAATGGGTTCAAAATTATCTTCTTCATTTGGTATCAGCTATGCAAATATGAATATAAGACCCACTTTCTTTATTTATTAAAATAATTCGAAATTTGCATATAGAACCTAAAGTCATGATAAAATTTCGTTTGCAATTTTTTGCAATTGATCTTGGAAACCTTGGGGTTTTTGTTCTATGTGATAAAAAATTTCTAACCATAAATCATATACATGTTTCCATTGAGTATTCTAAGAAAATTTTGAATCTGAATTTCTGGCTTTTATTACATGGAAGTTTAGAAATATTTTCAAATTATTTTCAATCGATACATTGAAACCTTAAATTGTTTTGTGGCTTTTGAAGAACAAGTTTTAGCGATCTATTGACACAAAAATTGTTTGAAATCGTTTCATATAGTGAAGGAATTTCATTCATGAATGTATTGTTACGAAACGTAGGGTTCATATTATGAAAGTTTCAATCTTTCTTTGAGTCGATCTTGTTTCATTGATGTAAAACGAAAATTGGTTTAAGGGTTTTTGTTCCCTTGTTGTTTTCCAACTATTTTATGTTGTTTTTAATACAAAAATCACACTTTTTTGTGCCTCTCGGAATTTTGCATTTTTGGGGATGGATTAGATTAGAATCTTGTCAGGTTGTTGTTTCTGGGTTGTTTTGTGATGAAAATTGCTCAAAAATCTATTGTTTTTGAGCTTTAACGAAGCTCCCGTGGCGGAACCAGATTTCCAGCGGGTTGACTCGCCAAAGGAAGAAGACACTGCAATAGAGAGATCTCAAGAAATCCCACGGGTTAGGGTGAGATCGTGAGAGAGGTATGCTATTTATATTTCTCACTAAAAAGTCACACAAAATCCACACTAATAGAAAATCCCTCGTCAGATTTTTGAATACCACAAGATTGTTTTTCTTTTGTTTAAAATCTTGATTGAATACCACCAGATTTGAACGGACTCTAAAACAATCTTTTAAAATCCTAATCGAATAACACGTGACTTTTTTACAATCCTTTAAAATCCTAATTGAATAGCAATAAATTTTTTTTGTCCAAAAACAATCCATTAAAATCTCATTCCAATACACCCCCCAAATTAACTTACAAAACTGCTAAATGACTAGGTGTCTTACTAAACTTAAGTACCCGGAAATTTCTAAAAAACATAGTGCTGGCTTGTCTTTCCTGAAATTTCTCATTTACTAGCATCATTTTCTTCACTCTCCCTACCCTTACAAAGGCAAAAAGGCAGCATGACATAGTAAACACTAAACATCTATCTGTCCAAGTTGTTTCCAAAATCACACAGATATCTCAAACCAACAGTATCAATGTTACAACTCACAATACATATAAAAAAAATAATAAAAAAAATCAGAAACATGAAGGAATGAAAGATACCTGTATTTGGTGTAACCCAAGCACATCTTTTCTTGTCCACCAAGCTATCAGTTGAATCTGCCTCAACCACATTGTCAATGCTCACCTTCTCAGTCTTGGGACCACCCTGCTTCTTCATCAACCGCCGTTCCACCTTCCCACTCGACGACGCGCCGCTGCTGTGAGTGGAAGAATCCGTCGACGACGCATCAGAGGAGCACGAAGCGTTCATCGACAGGTTTTTCAGAACAGCTTGGTGATGATCCTGCCTCTTATTAATCTCCAGGTGCGGCACTGAGACACATTGAGGATTCGAATGCGCCGCCGTCTTCTTCTTCTCCGTTTCCGGCACCGATTTCTTTACTGGCTTCCGTCCATCGACGGGCCGAGCCTTGTTGCCGGCGGGGACGAGTACCGGCCGTGCCTCAGGGTCGGCGATGGCCACATTCATGGATCGAACTCTGGGTGGACCCGACATTGCGAACCCTTCTTTTGAAACTCTCAGGTCAATGCTGAGTACCAAATTCAAAATTTAAGGCTTTCACACTCAATCAAAAAATTAGGGGAAGAAAAAAAAGAACTATTTTTTCTTCTAGAGAGAAACTCAACTTGGTTTGGAATTTTGAGTTTCCAGTTCGATGAAATGGATCACTGGGATTTCAATGCTGGGTTTCGGTTAAGCAATGCAAAACCCTAGAAAGAATGAGACTTTTTTTCAGCTGCATTTTGCTGAAAACTGAGCTCTAATCGTTTTCCCTTTTTTTTCTTATTGTGAGGGTTAAAAAGGTAGAAGCTTTAGATTGCCCTGTTTGTGTTGTGTGCTTGAATGATGGTGGCGGAAATGGGATTCAAGAGTGCTGAGAAAGTTGCTGGGAAAGAGTGAGAAAGTGAAAGGAAATTCTTTTTTTTTGAATTCTTTTTTCATGTTTGGTTGAGAAAGCAACGAATCAAAGGGTGGAGAGAGAGAGAGAGAGAGAGAGAGAGAGGAAAGTTTATTGTTCACCAATCACAGAGAGACACGTAGGAAAGAGAAATCATCGATAACAGGACAGTTTTGTCGGGCTCAATGGTTATTCGATGCCGCCGTTTTTGTTCCTTTTTTATGGTTTCAAACGGCAACTTTAGTTGTGGTCGTTTGAGAGCAGAAGAAGAAGCTTGTTGGTGATAACTGATAACAATAAAGCTGTACACAGAAAGGAAGTATGTAGGACCCACTTATCCAACGCTTTTCCACACATTCAAACACTCAGTGACGTGTTCTGATCCAAGTTGCAATATATACTATGATGACCACAAGAAGCTGGAAGCAACATTGAAAACCTCAATGGCTGCAACTTATTATTTATTACTGCCAAATCCAAAAGCTTTCTCAGCTTTCCTCAGAAACCCACCTTCCATTCCTTCCAGTCAACTCACTCATGTTCCATTATTCCATTATTATTCCCATAGAAGACCAAGTGTTCACGCCAATGTCAAGAAGAAGAACCCTTGGCTTGACCCTTTTGATGATGGGGAGGACCCCAACATGGAGTATGGTTCCTTGTTTGCAGATGGTAAGCAAGAGGAGGATACTAGGCCACCGGATAACCCTGACAGCCCATATGGCTTCTTGAAATTCCCTGCTGGATATACAGTGGAGATAGCTTCCTTGGGATTGAAAGTGAGAGGAGATGTCAGGAGGTGCTGTTGTGTGATATCTGGTGGTGTTTATGAGAACCTCTTGTTCTTTCCAGCTATCCAGTTGATTAAGGATAGGTACCCTGGTGTTCAGATCGATGTGTTAGCCACTGACAGAGGGAAACAGACTTACGAGTTGAATAAGAATGTGAGATATGCAAATGCCTATGACCTTGATGATGATTTTCCAGAGCCTGCAGAGTACACCGATATGGTTGGACTATTAAAGGTTGGTCACCGTATTTTCTGAACATATTGTGTAAAGCAACTTTTGATATTTTATCTACACAACTACGGGACAGTTTAATGTGGGCTTTAATGTGATCCATATTGTCGAATATTGAGGACAACTTTTTATATGCAGATGTATAAAAAATAAAAATAAAAAAATCATTATCATCTAAAGATCAGATTCAGGGTAAAATGAAACACTATTTATGGAGAACATTATGCTTGTCAGTTTTTCCCAAAGCAGAAGTAGTGATTACTGATTTCTATCAGGCAATTGTGAAAATTTTATGGAAATTTTTCCGAGTTTTGAGGCTTCCCTGACGTGAAGAAGCTTAAGAACATACTTGATGCAATTCTAATGAAATTCGCACCTGCAGGGGCTTAGGTTTACTATGTTAGGCATTACAATGTTGCAACCAAATCTCAAAATTCTGCTGGATTTTGCTTGCCACTTCCTTGCATGCATATATATTTGAAGTTCTCCAGTACGGATTTAAATACTGATGCATTGCTGCATTATGCATACAGGGTAGGTACTATGACATGGTCTTAAGCACAAAATTGGCAGGTCTTGGCCATGCAGCATTTTTGTTTATGACAACTGCCCGAGATATAGTTAGCTATGTCTACCCAAATGTGAATGCTGCAGGAGCAGGATTACTTTTATCTGAAACATTCACACCCGATAGTCAAAACCTCTCAGAGGGAGGATATTATATGTGAGTTTTATAGTACAACACAAGTGATTTAGACATATTTTAGGTAGATTTTCATGCCCTGAATTAGACTTAAATTTTCTTTTTAAGTGAATTGAGCTTTTTCTGGCAACATATAACTCAGAAGAATTTCCATTGAGTTTGCTTGCCTAGGTATCATGACATGGTTGACTGGCTTGCAAAACCATTTCGAAGCGTTCCAAGGCAAATTGTGCCCCCACTTAGGGTATCAATTTCAAGGAAGCTGAAGGAGGCTGTGAAGGAAAAATACACAAAAGCAGGTGTAGAAAAAGGGAAATATGTTGTAATTCATGGGTTAAAATCAGATTCAAAGGCCACGATGCAGTCTAGGGGTGATCCTGATAGCTTGCTACCCATTGAAGTGTGGGCTGAAATTGCTGAGGCTGTAAGGTACGTAACGTTGCCCATTGAAATATGTGTTAAAGTACTAATGGGATTAATATGCAACCATTTACAAGAGTTTGTAACAGCAAGTAAAAAGGTATCATGGTTCACTAAATAAATGCTCTTCAAGCATGTTCTTTCTTATTTTCATTCATTGTCTGGTTTGAATGTTACGGACTTTATACTTATGAATATTCGAGTAACAGGGAATTTACGCCACTTTTTGTCATTCCACATGAGAAAGAAAGGGAAAATGTGGAGGAAATCGTTGGAGAAGATGCCTCCATAATCTTCATCACCACCCCTGGCCAGGTACTCAAGTATCTTCTAGTTTGCAAGCAACAAATATATGAAGAAACACGAGAATGTCAAAACATAAAACTGTGAAATAATGAATGAATGAATCATTAAATCATTAAATAAAGGGAAACTAAAAGAGGAAAGACAGAAATAAGCTTATAAACATACGTAGTCTTCATACAATACTAATGGAATATCATTCTCTGGTTGTATGGTTCAGATGACTGCTCTTATTAATGACTCAGCTGGAGTGATAGCTACAAACACAGCTGCTATTCAGCTTGCAAATGCACGCCAGAAACCTAGGTAACTTTATCATTCACATAAATTAAAATGGTTCCCTGTGGAGGCGCCTTCATTTGGCTTTGGAGGGAAAAAAAATGTTTGAAGTTGAGCATGAAATGTTTCTTCAAAGAATCGTACAACATAGTCACATAACTAATAAAACTGTTCCTCTTATTGCGCAGTATTGCACTATTTTGCTCTGAAGAGAAGGGAAACAAGTTTGTTCCGCAGGCTGAAGAGAAGAAATGCATTGTAATATCTTCCAAGACAGGGAAGTTAATTGATATAGATGTTGAGGCTGTAAAAAATGCAATTCCAACTTTCAATATGTCTGTTGCTTTGGTATAGTAGGAGAGGGAAAATGTAAACTGTTTCGCCAAAATTAATAGGAAAGACGAATGTATCTCTACAAATTTATGGTTCACTTCGTGATCTGGATGAGAAAGCAGGAATATGATGAAACTGAAATTCAAAGTCCTATAAATAAGGGTCCAAAAAACTGTGAAAAGCACGGGAATAATCTAGTAAATTTTTTTTTTTTTTTTTAAAAAAAAAGGTCATCCTTTTCTTCTTTTATCCCCAACATTTTTCCTCGCTTCAACATTTCATTCATTAAAGTTACCACGCAAAGCAGTTAACATTCATTAGATGGAATCAGAACATATAAATGGAAATGTCATTGAGCAGAGGAAAGAAACAAAAACATACAAAGAATTAAATCAATAGAGTGGCTTGGCACGAGTAGAGGGATCTTCTTTTGATTCCACATGCATCATAAACGCATATCCTAAAACCCACAGGAGAATGTATTGAAAAGGAACCCATGAGAGGCATGCAAGAAGACTGAGAATGCTGCCAACGTACTGAGGATCTTTGATAACCCCAAAAGGGAATTCGGTTACCCAGGGAATATTGTTTCCAAAGCGTACACCATAGTATGTGCCAGCCTCACCGAGTAGCTGATAAACCCTGTTATTTGACAATATCACCATTATGCATAGCATAGACAAACTTTAAAGCAACACAATAAAATAATTGTATCCCAATTATAAGCAAGGCACATGAGATTGTTTTGGCACATCAAAACCTTTAAAAAATAAAATAATGGAGGAAACCGTCCAGAAATTTCTAAAACCATACACCGTTTCATCAAAAAGATGGCATTCCACTCAGTATTTCTTCATTTATTATTTCGTCAGGGGAAAATTAATTTGTAACTATATTATCATCTATTAGGATACATAATTTGCTGCACTGCAGATAACAATCTCTTGCAGGACTGCATCCCAAAGTAAAACATAACCTCTTATTTTTAACAAATTTAATAATTCACATATAAGGGTTTTGTGTTTTCTAGTGTGCTTGGGGAGGCTTGGCAATAAAAACACCTTTTCTGCAATTATGATATGCTAAGACACAGGATCTGATTTAATCCCTGCTGATTTAAAGCTATAGTATTCTCTGCTCAGTCACCCAATATACAGATATAGCAACTTCATAACACATGATATAAAAATCACTCCTTATTAAATCCTGACTAGCGAAGGTAGCGGTGAGGAAAATCATTCTATGCAGCTTACCCTTGTATAAAAGTCGATTCCAGGATTTGAACATGTGATATTTCAATCACAGAGAAGCAATTTTACCACTAATTCAGGTTTTTCCCCGCAATTTTACCACTAATTCATGTTCGCCCTCTTATTTCATACCACATGATATATTCTTAAAAAATTTCTATCCTAGGTCTTGCATATTTCACAAGCAATCATAATGTCTGTAGCTTAATCCAACACCTTTCTGCTTTGCATATTTGAGATTTGGTAGGAAATGCAGCAGGACAAATGATATCTCGTATTGTTAAACTCAAAAGTAACAGACCGAAAAATCATTGAATATCAATACAGGGTCAGAATTAAGTACACAACATCCATCAGGGAATACAACAACCAATCATTTTTCCAAATGCTTCCCTCGCAACAGTCCCAATCTACAAGCTCATATCTTTAATCTCACCAAACAAAGTAAACTAGCCACTGCAAAGTGGGAGACTAACCAAAACTTGAAAAGTATCAGTTCATCACCAACTGAAACTCCTTCCTTATTATACACATTCATCTCCTAATAGCCAATAAGGATAATAAAATTTTCCTCTTATTATATATATAAGACATTTAAAAACTATTCCATTTGAGCAATCCAAAGGAAAGGAACCAACTTGATAAACCCCATTATTAGATCCAAAAACTAGCAGCACACCCAAAAAAAAACAAATGACATGGGCATACATAACATAATAATAACATAGGGAGAGAGGGAGAGAGAGAAGACCTGAAGTTGAGGAATTGGCCAAAGGCAAAAAGGGGCCAGAAGTAGAATGGAGGAGGCCAATGGAGTGAAGAGACTGAAAAGAGTGAGATGAACTGAACAAGCTTCAAGAAATGAGCAACGTAAGCCATAACCTTACATGGGTCTCGCCCTTTCCCACAGAGGTCCACCCATGACTGTGGCCAATTCCACAGACAGTAATAGAACGGAAATGGTGACAACACTCCAATAGCCGCCGCAATCCCCATCGCTCCCCACAATCAGATCCTCTCTTTTTTTGGATTACTCTCTCAGTTTCTCAGCCACCTCGTAAAATAGGAACACGCTATTTCATGAGTTCTTAGCCGTTGATCTCATTATTGATTAAAAGAAATTCAATGGCAGGGCTTGATCAACAGCTATTTTATAACTCCATCTAAATTATATACAGTTAAAGTTAAAGATGTTCCAAGAAATTAAGTTAATATTGTTGGCGTTTTGCCCATAAATTGTTTCTCGAAATGCTTGATCTAGAAAATATTTGAGTTGATTGAACTTTATATGAATAAATTTATACATTAAGATAACGAAAACACTTATGCTTCATTAAACAATCCCTTAATAAGTTCACAATTGAAATTTTATGTGATTAAAATGAATTTTATGTGAATAAATTTTGGAAAAAGTGTGTATCATCTTAAAGGAGGTAAAATTGTGTTATTTTAAGTGAGAGAAAGAGATCGATAAAAGAGGAAACAGAGTGGACAAAAAAATATAAAGGTGTGGGTCTCATTTCTTTGTGAGAGAGTAAAATAATATAAGTTGTGTCATTTAAAAGGACAAACACTTTTTTCATAAATTTTATCACAATCCATAGGTCGGCATGAATTACCAGGTCGACCTATGGGTAGCAGAAATAAAAAATTGTGAAGGAAAGAGAAAAAGATGAACAAGCTTCCATTATACAGACAGATTCTAACGTAAGAAAACTTTATCCAATGTGAAGAAGTAAAATTCCACGAAATACTAGTCCAGAATGAAACTTCCATTATAAAAATAATGGGTTACAAGAGTCAAGCTTCACCAAGATGGTGGTACATTCAAACCTCACCTATAATAGTAATTTTCTCTCAAACTTTTCTAGAGAGGTCTCACTATTCTAACTTCCCTCTAGAGGTGCTCTCAAAATCAAAGCTTTAAGTTTTTCTCACAAAATCCTCAAAAATCTCTCAAGCCAACATTACCTCAATCCCACAACTAATGCTTATTAATAGGGGTGGCAATTTTGGTTGACCAGCCCCGACTCGCCCCGCCAAAAACAGGGCGGGGCGGGTTGACCCGTCAAAAAATATGGGTTAAAAAAATGAACCCACCCCGTTTTATGGTGGGTTGGCGGGTTGGCGAGTTGGCGGGTCAACCTGCCAATTAAAAATAAATTAATTAAAATTTAAAAAAATTATATTTTATGAATTTTTCTAATATTATTTTATTTTATTTCACACTTCTCTATATTTTTTAGTCTCAATCTTAAATATATACTAATATTTGTCAAACATTCTTTAGGAACTTATACATAGATAACATTTATCATAAATAAAATTGTTATTCTTTATTTTTTTTAGGAAGTACTAAAACAAAAACAAAATTTGGATATCATAAATATTTAAGGACTAATAAAAATACTACCTAATTGTAAAAAAAAATAAAAAAAATTATAACCCAGCGGGTCAACCCGCCCCGCGGCGGGTTGAACCCGTTTTGACCCACTTCTAGGCGGGGCAGGTTGAGGTGGGTTGGTGGGTTGAAAACCTCAACTCAACCGGCCCCGTTTTGGCGTGTTGACCCGCCGAGCTCAACCCATATTGCCACCTCTAGCTTATTAGGGGAGGAAGAAGGTTTTGGGTTACTTGAGCCCCAAGTTCCTTAACCAACTTGAGCCCCAAGTTCCTTAACAAACTTGAGCCCCAAGTTTCTTCAACATTGGGCCTTATGCATTGAAGGAGGAAAAAACTCAACAAATCTTCCCCTTCCGACTTCAATGCATCAGCATCAACAGTAAGTTGGCACCTTCACAACAATCTTTAAATTTTCTTGATGGTACCAGCTTCTTCATCATGTCAGACCAATTCAGGTCGATGTGCACTTTGACGAATTCGAGCTCTTCATCTTTCACCAAATCCTTGATCCAATGATATCTCACATCAATGTGCTTAGTGTGGGAGTGATAGGTCGAATTCTTCGCAACATGAATTGCGCTTTGATTGTCACATCTCAGCTCGTACTTGTCTTAATCATGGCCGAGTTTAGACAGGAACTTCTTCATCCATAACATTTTTTTGCTTGCCTCGGTCGCGGCTATGTACTCAGCCTCGGTCGTCGAAAGTGCCACAGGCTTATGCAATTTAGATTGCCAAGAGATAGATCTTTATGTTTTTGTAAAACTGCAATAAGCGCAGTTTTTTCATTTGCTGGAATGTGTCTTCTAATTTTTGTATTATTTCCTAGCAGCGGACCAATTTGAAGATCTTCCAATTCACCATCAGGTTGGGGACGCACATCACATAAATCTTCGCGCACATCCAAGTCTGTCATATTGACATAAGTCTTTCCCTTATTCATCTCTGTTGTATATTGAACAATGGTTTTACTAGTAACTTTCAAACTAATATTATAATAGTTGCGCAGTGTCTTCTCATCACCTCTAATTGATATAATCCTCCCATATGTATCCCTAAATTTTAACAAAAGATAGGACATATAAATGATTGCGCTCAAAGCCCCAATCGTTGGGCGACCCAGAATGACATTATAAGTTGAAGGACACTCTATAATATGAAAAGTTACATCCTTTAAAAGATAATTTATTTATTTATTTGATATAAATAAAAATTGAATACATAATCTAATACAATATATCCAAACTTTTTACTATTAAACTAATTTTAGTGGCTTAAAAACGACAATTGCTTTTGTGGCATACATAGGTATAATTTCCATCGATAACTATCAAGTCCATTTATTGTATCCGGCACTCCAAATAATAGTACATTTTAGAAAGAGCCACAAATTAAGAAAAGAACTGAATTTGATATTAAATCCTTGAAACACGTGGAATCTTTGGAAAACAATAAGCAGATGGAAACGTACGCATTTTATAATGAGCTGATCCATCTTTCTTTTTACACTGTATCAATCAATATCTAATTAACATGTGGTTGATCAGCAGATTAATTGTCAATTCATAATGAGCTGTAATTAGCAGAAGGTTGGATAAATGTTAAGGAATGCGGGGACTCGTGAATTATCTGCAGTGTTTTTCAATCTGTCATTTGCAGTTGTCTATTTCATCTCGTGTCTTCTAAGTTGTTTATTATTATTATTATTGTTACTGTCCAAGCTAAAATAGGAATTCTTATATTCTATATACTTTTATGTTATAACATTATTTAATAATGTGTGGATTGTGTTATAAAACTCACCATTAGCTTTGGTTAACAGTGTCGTAAATCAACTATCCCGAATGTTTAAATTATTTAGGTTAAAATATAGAATGGTTTTATGTCTAACATCCTCTCTTATATAGGAGTCTTTTTAGACTTGAACTGTGAATAATAAATATTAAATATATTTATGTTCAATTTTAGTTATTATTTAGAAGAAGAGCTAGGGATATAAAGATGAAACTCTAAAGCACATGGTAATAATGTTCCAATACCACATCATGAATGAACTGTCCCAAAAATTTAAATTTTTAAGTGAAAACATATAAATAAATTTATATCTAACAAATTGAAATCATAATTCAATTACCAAATTTAATTTACGCTGGAAAAAAATAAGAGAGATACGAATCTCGCTCTACATATATAAATATTCATTGATATCTTAGTGATAATTACACACTTAAAATAAACTATGATTCGATGAGATTCAAGATGATTAAATTGAATAATAATTGCTCACTGATATAATACGCAATATATATCAAGTCTCTATAAAATATTGAAATGATTGCAACAGGTTAAGAAACTTTCAAAGTCTATGACAAGCAAAGGAATGTACTGTCGAATACAGAACCCGGCCAGTTTCCTCATCTGCAAAATAATTATTGCTTAATTTCCCATGTTGTTTTTGACTTAAAGAAAGCGATTACCCGGTAGAGAATACCTCTTTGAAAAATTAGAAAGCTTGGTTGAAGGTTTATTTTAGGATTGATGGAAAAGTGTAGGTAGATATTGAAAAATATTATGTTTGGTTCAGATTTTTTCAAGAAATACCAGACAAATAGGATAGATGGGAAAATAACTTTTGTGTTGATTTTTAAATGAAATTTACTGTTACAGAATACCACTTGAGATGTGGTATTTTGAGATGACTGGGGAAGTGAAAAATCAGGTGCAAAGTTTCTCCCGAACATAGATTTTGCATATTTAAATAAATTTTTCTGGTAATATTTGGGTCAACCAAACAACTTTTTTTACATTTTCCTATCAAACTCACTTTCCAACTATTTTCCTATCAATTACATTTCCCTAGTAAAAAAAAAATTCTCCCGAACTAAACACTATCTTGAGGATTTATTACTAGAAAATTGCGTGGTTGTCAAAATAATGAACATAAAGAATACTTATCATGATCCTTTGCCTCCACCGAATGCGAAAAATCTATTGTATTACGGGTGCAGGTATATTGTGCTGATAGAAATACACCACGTCAGCATACATTGTACCAAAAAAATATATATATATAATTTTTATATTTTATATTATATCTTATCGATAAAACATAGTCCTATACACTTAAGTGTATTCGATGCACTATAGATGTTGTACACCAAGTGGTGCCTCCATTTTGAGAAAAGAGGTAGGGCTACCACCTACTAGTATCTTATGCAGCTGTTGCAAATTCAATGGCGTGGAATTATTTTGAGAACAAAGTGCTTGTACATTGGACTTATTCTACTACTGGATTTTAGTGTATCTTTTCAGCTTAAGTGGCACAGTGCAGCTATTGTTTTATCTGATATAATATGATTGATCATGTGCGCAACTTCGTTCCCTTCTCTGAATGTGTGAGAACCCATGACTTCCCAAGGTCTTCCCAACATATCCCGCAAGCAGGGACAAAGGGTGATCAACACTACATCCAATATATGTTTGAGAGTAGTGCTTTTTTCTCATGATACCCAAAGACTAATAAATAATAGAGTAAACGCCTTCTTGTGTCCCTAATAAAAAAATATATCTTCATTTTTGTTCCTTACAAAAAAAAAAGCTAATTTTTGATT